CGCGACAGCTTTTTCGCGAACCTACCGATTACGTAATTATCCAGTGGAATCAAACATTTGACGGAGACGAAGCATAAGCGACAGGTCGTTCCTTAGACGAGTTGGACGTTGGAGCTCGTCTAATTTGAAGGACGTCGGTAACGACGCCCCGACGGCGTCAAGTGTTTCGGCTTTCATCGAAGTCTAGCAACCCCGTTACGCATCTTTCCCGGATAAAGAAAGCAATTTCCTCGGTTTTACCGTAATTACACGGGCCCGTTTACTCGCAAGAATGAGTTGAAAGGAAACACGCACGGAATGGTTGATCAACGAAACGGAAAACGACGCTGCTCTCGTTAACGAAGGCATGGAGTGGCACGGTTTCGCTTTTCCGCAGCCAGAAAACGTTCGCAGACGTTGCCCTCCGGTGCGGCAACGCGATCCGGGAACTCGTTCTGGACGGGAAACCTCGGTGGGTATCGAATCGCGAGGGGAACAAAACCGGAAGAAAACAGGGTGTGGCCCGGCTAATGGTCGACGGAAAAAGAGAGGAGACGGAGAAGGCGAGGAACTGTACGGAACCGAGTGGACGCGGACGGCTACCGGGTCGTCGAGTCGGTCGGCGGTCGGTTCGTAAAACAAACTGTCGCTCCGCGCGAAGTGGATGCTTTTAGCCTTTAGCTGTAGCCCGTAGCCCGCGAAGCGGCGCGGCGTGGCGTGAAGCGTAGGGATTGAATTTCTTGCGGTCGCGGTCGTGTCCGTTTCCGTTTCGCCGTTCTCTAACAAAAACGGAATTTAAAATTGACCCGGACAAAAAACAGATTGCCCGAAATGCGTCGGCTGAACGGCGCTTTCCATTGGATCCCATTCGAGATTCTCTCTTTCTCTTTCTCTCTTTCTCTCTCTCGCTTTCTTTTGTACACGTTTGCACGGATATACTCGGAGAAGAGAAGTAGGTTCGATTACTCTTCGGACGCGACGGCAATTAGGTCCGTCCATCGCGTCGTAGAAAAACCGAAACGTTGCGCGTACGTAACTAGCCAGTCGGCCGCGCATAGAAGCGTCCGAAACTCGTAAACGAGACCGCGGAATCGATTCGGTTCCTTTTCTTTCGTGGATTTCCAGCGACCGTTAACCGACGATTTATGCCGGGATTGCGCAATTTTCGTGTCGCGAACTGCGCACGGGATGGTAATCGGAAGCTTATCGCGGAAACTCGCCGCGGAATTTCGAGTCGGTTACGAATCCGAAGATACCCGTTGCAGCGCGTGTCGGTGAATATTTTACGACGGGAGAGCTGCCGCCCGCGTTGTTCGAAACGGTGACATTGTTGGTCGTATTTCAAGAACGGAACGAGCTACGTCCCGCTTTCAGTTTTTAATGCCTCGTAAAGAGAACCTTTATGAGAACTTTTTCATTTTCACGAGCGCGGCCGCGTTCCGCTACTACGACAACGATCGTGACTGTGCAGGCTGCTGCGGCAGCGATCGCCGCCCGACTCTTACGGTCTATTATACGTCCGATCGGAAATTCATCGTCGCCCCATTGTCCGGTGCGACGCGCGACGCTTAAAGCGGAAGGCGCGGTTAATGAAATCCGTCTGCGGCTGATCCAGACGGATGCGCGAATCTAATTTATAAGCGGGATATAAGCGTCGGGTGAAAGAATTTTTCATCAATGCGGCGAAACAGTGGAGCCGCGGGTTTGCCCGCTGCTGTGGTCCATCGATACCGAAGCCTAGAAATCGCGGAGCCACGATCTCGACCTTAATCGAAATTTTAATGAAAAGATCACAAAGTTACTGACTGCCGCGGCAATCGTGAGAAAAATGGGGAAACGTAGCACCGTCGCGTCGAGGGTCTTCCTCGGAAAGCTCGGAAAGAGCCCGGGCTCGAGAAGGAAACTTACCATGAAATCCCCGGTTATTACGTTAATTGTCTGCCACTTTTTTATCGTTTCGAAATTGAAATTATCCCAAAGTATCTACATATCGCGAACGTATTTTTTTACGAATCCTGACTCTTCCAATTTTGATCAGGCGATGAACGAGAGCGCACGTTTCCATAGCTGTCGAGTGAGCGAGAAGGAGAGGCAGCGCTGTCCGACGGTTCTCTCTCGCGGGCGAAAGATTGAAGGAGATTGGTGGAACGTGCCGAACGTCTGGTCCCCACGGTGAATCGATGCTACGCGACGCGGCGACGACGCGCCGGGTGGATTCGTAAATTCACCGTGAAATCTTCTGCAAACGGTAGTAGGGTAACTCATTTCCGTTTCATCGGGAGTTCCTTTTGAATTAAAAGAGCTCGGACGGGTTGGCGAAACGATAGCTGGCAAAAGTAGCGGGGGAGCGAAGAGGACGCCGGATTAATTAACGTAACGTAATTACGTTCCGCATTGTGAGAGTCGCGACACTTCGAGAGTCCGACAGGAAGACGGACGAGAAACGAGAAACTTGAGACGTCGAGCCGATGAATCGCCACCGGTGCCATTTCACTCTTCCCCGAACCGAACGGAACATTTTTCATCGGTACGATTAAATATCGTTGTCTCGCGCGGCAGATGTCTTACCTAAAAATCGAGAAGTCCGTCGGAACGTAGAAACGCGGACGAGAATCGAACGAACGCGTCGCTCTAAACGAAGTATGAATTCCTATGTTTCTGAGCGACTGACCGAGGGAGCGCGACTTCGGGAATACTTTCTATCGAACGGAGAGTGGAGAGGCCGAGAAAGAAAGAGATTAGGTCCCGTCGACGCGAAGGCGATCGTTCGTCGGATATTGGGTAGGGCCGGCGATAAAGCAATTCTCATCGCGGGCGCGTAGCAAAAACGAAGATCTTCGTCCTTCTTTTTCCCTCTTCGCCTCGAGCCGTCGGGCAGTCGCGATCGCCGGACTCCGAAGATTTACCGTCCGCTCTGGATTTTCCTCCGCGAGCGAAATTCAAAAAGTTGAAGGCGGTACGGAGCGCACGATCGAATCGTTCCGATGGATTTATTTCGCCAACAGGTGGATTAAATCGCGCTAAATCTTCGCCCGAGCGAACTATCCCGCTACGGATTAGATCGTAGAATCAATTACGAAACGTTATTAAAATCTGGTGGAATTATCGGATTCCTCTTTTTCTCGATGTTCCCGTCATTTCGTGTACAACGTGGAAGGGCCTAACGTAGGCACTCGCGATTATTCAAATCGATACGAACACCCTTAATCGTTATTTGCGGCGTGGGTTATTTACATCGTAATTAGATTTCGTACAACAATTGTTGTCGCGTTAATTGAAATCATACGGTATTACGTATTCAATTTTCTGCTCCACTGAGCGCAGACTGATCGACGAGAAAACGTCCGACGCCTACGGTGAAACATTGAATCGTCGCGTCGAATCGATCGGATCACGAGTCTCGCGAAACGAGAGGAGGTGAAAAATTCATGAATCGCCGAAAATCGTCGACGTCAATGAGAGGATTTGTTCTACGTCCGGGAAGATGTTTATCTCGTTTACCAAATTTACCAAATTTGCACGTGCGCGTGTACGTGTACATACTGCATGCGTATCACGATAAACGCTCCTCTACGTGATAATGATGGGGCAGCAGGTCGGTTCAAAATACGCTATAACGCGAACATCTGCACGCGATGCCGTTCCATGGCGTCGTCGTACCCTATTACGATTACTATAACATTGTACTTACCGCGCTCTCTACAAAGCATAACCTGGTTATCCGTCCGATGGGATACGCGACGGGAACTGGACATGGGTGGCTTGGCGGTGGTTACCCTACGATTACGCACGCTGGTCTCTGGTCCGCTCGCATCCTCGTTACGCGTGGAGAGCAGGCTTTCGCTTGCGGCTTACGATTTTGCCTGGCAATCCCAGTACCACTCTTTGTCATGTATTTTTTCTCGTGCGGTTCGCCCGTTTCTATTATGGAAAACCGTGTTTCGAAATAACCGATTGGTAGCGAAATTCGAATTTCGTTCTTTTTTTTTACGATCCTTGATAATAGGTAACAGGAGCAGGGGTGAAGCCGATGGACAACGGTTTAACGCGGTGGTGCACCGAGTGGAAATCTGTAAAACGATTAATGGAAACGTCGGTAATGTTAATCGAATTTTTCGATCGAAATTGATTGTCGTGCGGTGGCAACTAATTCTGCGAAAATAGAATATCTGTCGCACGATCGATGACTCGATTATTGGGACGTTGATGAAGTTTCGGCTAATCGAGCGCGTCCCGCATTTCCCGTTTCGAAAATGAAGCGAAAGCGGCCCGTCGCGAAACGGGAAGCGTTCGACGATTTTAATCGTCAGTTCTCGCGAACGTTTCTTTTTACGTCAGCGCCTCGATAATTTAGCGTAAATACGTATATTTGGCGCATAAATCAGCGATCCGCTTATAATTGCGTTCGTAATGCTTACGACATAAATTGGCTGTACACTGTACGCCGTCGGATAATTATAATTGGGATCGAGAGCGCATATTTACGTACATTATAATTAGTATATTTTCTGGTCCGGTTCCACGCATCGTCGCGTAATTCCGGTTGTAATTATTGCCCGTTATGTTTATGCAAGATTACTTTGAAATAATGAATAAACGAGAGATCCATCGAATCGATCGGCCGCGAATGTCCTATCGGTGTATAGCTCGTCGGAACGGATCGACGGCTATCATGCTCCGCTTTTGCTTTAGCCGAAAATACGTAGCACGTTATTCGACCAAACGACACCGAGCCGCTCTCCATAGTTTATTTCCAAGCAGTGGCAGGTCTTCGATCCAAGGATGTAATTTACGAAACGTTTTCAGTATCTAAATTCTCGATTTGGAAACAATTTATTTCGTTCGGAACCGTGGGCTGGACATGGGTGTGGGTGAATAAATCAAACGGACACACGGTCCTACAGTACCGGAACGTACCGTAAGTACGACGAGTCTTTCGATCCGGTCAATTGTAAGGACACGAATTTAAGTTTTCATCTCGTCGATTCATAATTTAATTTGACAGAAAGAAATACTCACATAGTTGTAAATCTTTTATTGTTCGACCCTTCTGTCTAGACATTCATACAGGGTGGAACGTGTATTTATACAATAAGTATACATATGTATAACGATATATCGTGGATCGCGAATACGTATTTCGACACGCTGCTTCGCTCAGTTCGAACTTGTTTAACTTCCGATGCAGCTGCGATATCTTAACCTGGCAGGCACTTCTCTATACATACTCCGTATTCTATACTCTATAATCTAGCAGTATTTACACGATCGACCATTGCGCTCCCAATAGCGTTAACAAAATTATTGTACAATCACGCGAATGTCGATTATCGTAACATAATACTAACGTTCGTCTACGTTTTAAGTAACGATACGTACACCGAGTAACAAACAGGTAGTGGAACGATGGTCTCGTAGAGGACTTAATGTCCAGGTACAGCATTTCTGGAAATTGTGTAAAATCACCTGAATACTTCCTTACTCATTGTCAGAGATCATCGGACTGTCTACGTATTTTACAACCTAAGCTGATATCTACATGGCACTTCCCGGTGACCACGCGTGGTACGCGGGTGTATAAAAATATGAATACATTTGTAGTCCGCGTCGTGTGCTTCCCTCCGTGCGAAGCTATCAGAGACGGTCGTGCGTGTCGATCTCCACTCTTTGCAAGAGATCCGGCTCTGAGAAACGATACGAAAGGGAAGTTTAGTGAAAATAATTTCGAACGAAGCAGCCGTTCATAAAAAGAACTAAAGTTTACCGTTTCGATTTTCTTCGACGTAGAGACTCGCCCTTTGAGAACGCCTGTTATCGGTCGACGAGTATCTGATCCTTGGCTCGATCCTTTGAGCAGACACGTACGTGGGTGTGGTAAAATCGTCTGGGCCGTCTTTGACGGGAGACGCTGTCCTTCGCCTGCAGATCGCCAGTCCGATGATCACTCCGATACCGATCAGGATCAAAGCGACCGCACCTTCGACCCGAAATATCCGTCGACGTTAATGGCGCTCGAAATTCTCTGCTATACACTGTTCTCTGATACCATATATATACGTAGAGAAAGAGAGAGAACTGGGACGCGAGCGGGAAAGTTTCATTCTTACATTAAATTTGAAAATCCAAGGATTGTACCTATACCTGCGAGGGCGACCACGATGATCACGTTTTCGGAGCTAGCCTCTGGTAGCGCCTTTTTCAAATCCTCAAGGAACAGTCCGTTCCTCTCGATCGTGTTGGTGATAGATTCGGTGACTTTGACGTGCCTCAGTAACGCCGGCTCGCTCCTTCCTCTTCCGTTCACGGCGTACACGTACAGAGTGTAATCGAATCCAGGTTCAAGGCCGTGCAATTGAAAGTTAGGTCTCGGATTACTTTCCCGGTATATAGCCGGCACTTCCCCGACCGTGCCTTGATCGCTCTGAGGCACGTGCAACGTGGACGGATTCGACGCGACCGCGGGGCTTCCAACGATCCCTCGAACTTCCAGCAAAAAGTATTGCGGCGAACCGCCGTCCGCGCCGGGCACGCAAATCACTTCCAGCCACGCGCTCGCGTTACGCAGCGAACAGTCCGTAGGTGGTTGAGGGGGATCTGCGAATCGGAAAGTTCAGGGCGTTAGTCGTATGGGAGACGGGAATTCTTTCATCGATTTTCGTCGACGCTGGTGGACGCGTACTTCCGGGCACGATATCGAATATGCAGGGTATCCTTTGTCTGCCGACGCTGTTGCTGGCCCAGCAAGCGAGAGTCCCGAAATCGGTATCGACGGTAGGAATGTATTCGAGAACGCTGACGAGCCCGTTGTTCCGAGCTCTGGAGTTCGGCATCGGCAACACGTCACCGAGCGTCCCGTTGTACGTCCACGAGAATCTCACCGCGTCGCTTGGCATCGCGTCGACCTCGCAACGCAACGAAACCGCTTCGCGACGACCGACCGTGATCACGCGACGCTCGTAACCCGGTCTACATCTAGGCGCGTCTGTCCGATAAAACACACACGTTAAATCCCCGTTCGGCTGTCTGTGTGGAAGAAAACGTGAGAACACTTGCATTTCATGGGAATGAAGATCGGTGAACTGCGACCTTCTCCCACTGAATTGATCGCCTCGCAGGAGTACTCGCCGGCGTGCGCCAAAGTAAGCACCCTCAGCGTCAATGTGTTCGAGGCGATCAGCGTCCCAATGGCCACGTTGTGCTCCAATCGATCGCCCTGCAACGCGATAAATTTTATAGCAGCTATTATTCTCGCGTTGGATCGAACGGATAAACGATCGTGCAGAGTAATTAGCATCGAGATGAGCAACGAAATTCGTCGAACGAATTAACCCTCGTAAAATCGTTTTCTTACCTCGTGGTACCATACGATGGTCGTGGGAGGTGGATTGCTCTCCGCGTTGCATATCAATTTCAGATCGTCCCCTTCTCTGAGCGTGTCCAAAACGTAACCTGTAGCCAGTTCGATGGAAACTACAGGCGCGTCTAGATACAAAAAAAGGATGTTACGGATGTTACATGCTCGTTCCAAAACGGATAGGCGATCGGGGAATAAGGAAACGGGTGGAACACTCACAGGCAACGTTCAAGACCTTGGTCTGTTCGAGGACCCCGCCGGGAAATCTCGGGTTTTCGGCCCTGCAGGTTAATTCCTTGCCGTCGTCGTCTCTGCCGAGGGCAAGAGCCAGCTTGCTGACCGTAGAATTGCTTCTCTGAATCGTCGACGCGTTCGGGTCGCCTATCGCGCGTCCTCCCAGACTCCAAACGATTCTCGCGGCCGGAGAACTTCCCCAAGTTTCGCAACGTGCCGCGATCGGACGCCCCGCGTGTATTTGATTCTCGTTCAAGACGATCTTCACGATCGCTGGTTTCACTGCGAATCAGATCCCGTATTCTTTTGTCGTTCCCTTCGATAGTTCCGCGTCGAGCGCAAAAAAAGTGACGTGGAAACGCCTGGCCACGGTTGGACCGAGCCGGGCCGAAAATATACTGGGGGGTCGAAAAAGAGCCACGTGCTCGCCAACGGAACCCGCGTATTTTTACTTTCATATACGATTCCACGAAATACGACTTTGAGGCGTCAAAGCGGTTAAAGAGGTCCGCGCGAAATCGTTGGAATTCGTATCTCTTTTTTCGCGCAGGACATTCGGATGTATAAAAACAGTAGCAAGATTTCTTGCCACGCGCGACGTTCGTATCTTTTAAGGATGTATTGACTATACGCATAGTCAATACCAAAAGTTTATGTACCTTAGAAAAACGGATTTCCTATAATTAAAAAGAAATCAGACGTCGGAAGAATAATGCTAATAA